GCATCATACACGTGAATCATGCAATGCCATCCTGTTTAACCAGTCATCGTATATGTGAATTGTATCGTGCCATATTTTTGTCCATATGTATTCCATTTGTCAATAGTGTTTATACATTCATCTACTCTTCCTGTGCATCAGCCATTTGAGTCGGTCATGGGAAAATCTGGAGTGAAACAAGGTCTTCTGAGCAGTCAGTGCTACCTGTCGATGCAGATTTCTTGCTGGTTACAGATAGCTCCTCAGAGGAGGATTTAAAGACAGAAGACCAGTCGTATTCCCCCCCCCCGAGGTGCATGCTCTAACTTGGGTGGGTTATATTGCTCATATCATGCATATGGTGTCTTGCATTGCCATGCCATCTGCTTAGATTAGACATGCTTTGTGTGAATGCCTCCTGTTTGCTTTCCATATCAGATATGTGAATTATGCAACATGTTTTCCAGCCAGTTATCATATATGTGAATTATGCACCTCCATGGAGCCAGGCATCATATATGTGAATTATCTCATGCCATCTTCTCTTTTCATTACGTATTCCATTTGTTGACAATCTGTGTATATTGAACTACTCTTCATGTGTATCAACCATTTGAGCCGGTTATGGAAAAATCTGGAGTGAAAACAAGGTCTTCAGAGCAGGCAATGGTACCTGTTGAAGCATATATCTCGATGGTTACAGGGAGCTCCTCAGAGGAGGATTCAGAGACAGATGACCAGTCCTATATCCCACCTGAGGTGTATGCTCTAAGTTGCAATGTTTATATTTCTCATATGATGCATATGGTGTCTTGCATTGCTTAGTTTAGACATCATATGCACAATATTGAATTCCATCTGCTTAGTTTAGAGATCATACATGCGAGTGCCAGCTGCTTAGTATATGAATCAATTATGTCAATTATATCATGCCATCCTATATACTTAGACAAGATGTATGTGAATTATTTCATCCCAACCTATTTTAGAAAAACATCACATAGTTTTGTCATGTCATCCTGTTTAGGTACTCATCATATGTTGAATTATGCCATTATATCATGTTAAGTTATCCATCATATATCTGAAACTGTGTCATGCTATCCTGTTTAGTTAGGCATCATATATGTGAAATTGTGTCATGTTGTCCTGTTTGGTTAGACAACATATATGTGAATTACCACATCTGTCTATCATACAATGTCTGTACGTTCAATTTCTTTTCTTGTTTATCGGCCATTTGAATTGGAGGGGTGATGGCAGTATGTAAGGGAGCAAAACCCCATTCTTCACAAAAGACAGTGCTACCCGTCGATGCAGATAGAACCATGGTTGTACTGGCCCACAAACTAGCCCCACCACACATAATCGAGACTCTTCCAGATTGCACACTTACACCGTTGGGCAGAGAACCAGGTAAAACCCATCTAACCGCAACCCCAGCGGATAGTAACCCACTTCTAGTTGACAAAGCACCATGTCCACCACAGAGTACCCCACACGAGCAGTTTGTAAAGCTACTGTAGTGCCCAAAGCACGAAGACCACCACAGCTAACCCAAACTCCACGTTTAAAGCAGAAGAGCAACTGTTCTCAGGTCAGATTCCATAGCTATGGTCCATACTCCTTTGCTGTTGCATCACTGTATTTACTCATACCAACTACTTTTGAATTTGAAGGATCCAATTGAAACTCCAATGGCGCAACACGTATGTTTTAAACCTATTTCTTTAACTGGATTGCTGTTCTAACTTCTTGCTCTATGTTGATTTCAGTTTAAGTTGTATAAATAGTTATGTTCTCATGTGATGCACATTACAAGTGTTGTCAATGCTGTGTAGTTTCTCACACTTATATTCTGTCTATACTGTTGTGTCTTAAAAATATATGAGTTGAACTATGTCTCTATCTTGATTAGGGAACATAAACTAGAATGATATGGACAATACAGTGACCATAGTACATAGATATATGTTTGTTTCATGTTGTTATCCTATCCACCTTACTACTGAACCGGTTTACCAAAATGAGTTTCGTATACTACAAGCTAAACCTGTGATGTGTCTGCTTGTTTCTCTTGTAGTATGCAAACAGAATATTGGAGAAGAGCACCCCACTATGAAATGGTAGAGAAAGTAATGCATATAAGGTTCAAGATAGTGAGACAATCCTGTTGGTCTCCAAGAAAGGTGATAAAAACGATCTTGTAGACAGTGAGAAAACCCCATAGTCCTGCGTTGATGTAGTGTTCGAGTTACTGGCCATTACCGCTGGCACAAGCTCTTCTAACTCGCTGCCTGAATCACTTCGGCTTCTTCTGTCTCAGCTACAAGCTGAAAGGCATCAGTCAGCTGTGCTGCAGCAAGAAGCCGAAGGACTGAGGAAGTCCCTGCAGAATTCAGATGCGTACTTTCTTGTGCAACAGCAAGCGCTCGAGGATTTAAGCGCCAAACAAGATTAAGTTAATAAGCCCAGGATATTGTTTCTTGAACTCTCCTGAAGTGGTTTCAGTTCTGGACATGTTTTGCAGCAGCGTTTATATGCTGCTTTGTTCCCTATATTTGCACTGGAGGCGAACTTTGATGCCCAGTGGATGTAATATGTGTAATAGCCGTGATAGCCTAGCATAAGTTGCTTGCTTATTTATTTCCTTGTTGTCTTGTTTATTTGTTTGCTTGTAGTCAGTGCAGTTCTTTTTCCGCGGTTTGCTAGTGGCTGCAATAACCTATTTTTTAAAACTAGGCCACAATAACCATGGACTAATATTTACTGTAGTGACACTGGGCCTCCTACGAGCTGTAGAAACAGTGGGCCTTCTACGGGCCGTAGAAACAATGGGCCTTCTACGGGCCGTATCATCAATGGGCCTTATACGGGTCGTATCATCAATGGGCCTTATACGGGCCGTATGATCGATTGGCCAAACATGGGCCAAACAGACCGCATTATGGCCGTAAAAGGGCTAGAGTTGAAATCGTCTGTTCATGGGCCGACCATAACGGGCCATCGTTAATAGGCCGTATTTGATGACGCTATGAAAACGGCCCAATGTATTAACGGACCACAAACGGGCTGACTGTAACCACGGGCTGAATTTGGCCCACAAGCAGAAAATGACAGTAACGGGCCGTAAGTAAACGAATGCTGGAAATGAGCCCAAGAATAAATGGGCTCTGAGAAGGCTGAAAGATAACATGGGCTGGAAACGGCCCAACGAAATAATGGGCCGTTAATGGGTATAAAGTGATACACTGTTCATTACGGGCTAGTTTCACCACGGGCCGTTAATGGGTGTAAAGTGATACACTGTTCATTACGGGCCAGTTTCATCACGGGCCGTTAATAGGCCAAGAGTTACATAGGGCCTCATATGGGCCGAAAGACGTCATGGGCCATACATGGGCCAGAAGTGAAAACGGGCTGGAATCATATTGGATGGCCCAAATAACGCTACTGGGCCTAATTCAGATAGGGCATAACGGGCCTTGGGTTAGCGGGCTGTAAATGGGCTATATGCGAACAGGACGTTAACAGGCTTTTCATGGGTCGGCCCGCCACCTTTTGACCAAGTCAAACGGGCCGACCTTTTCACAGGAATGGGCCTCTGTTGGGCCGTGCCACGTGTCGACGTATCATAGGCGCCTTTTGTCCAATGAGTGGATGACATATGTCCCAACGATGAGCCGACGCGTGTTTCCTCCAGCCAATGATGATTTTACACGTGGAAAATCCCCATTGGTCGGGGCTGTTAACGGGGTACCGGATCCAAAACCCGACCCGATAGCTTAACGGCGTTCCGTTACGGTGGATGCCACGTGTCGGTCACCCTTGACGAAAGCACTTCTGTGACGCGCGATTTATCGTCATGGAAGTGGACACTTCCGTGATGATAATTTTGGTAATGTCATGGAACACTTCTACGACAGCACAGGTATGACTATCTTGATTCTGTCATAAAATCATCATGGATGTACATGCATGACAAAAAACGCGATCTACTATGACAAACACGTATCATCACGGAAGTGTATTTTTTTTGTAGTGAAGATCCATCTAGAAGAAGCCAATGTCGTCCAAGGCATAGCCAAAGAGGCCGAGCACCCCGGGAGCCTGATGGTCCGGACAAAGCGCAACAGGGTGGTCGGACCTCTTGCACTTGAAGCACGACGGGGGCTGTTTGCAGTCCACCTGGCAGTGCCCCTCCACGCCACAGTTGAAGCACGTCACCACCGGGGCCAGTGGCCAGGTCGCCGCCACCGTAGGAGTGGTGGAGGGGTTGGACACGGAGGACGCCGGGCTGGATGCCGCGGCCGCCTGCTGCTGAGCAGCACGCTTCTTCTTCTTCTTCTCAAAAGCCCCGCGGCCATTGCGGTTGTTGGGACCACCCCTGGGGGGAGCTGCGCCTGCCGCCGGGGAGGATCGTACCGCCTTGGGGGGGGGGGAGACATCAGAGCGGTCGGAACGCGCCGGCGAGCGGGAGCGACGCGGTGGGGAGTGCCGGTCCCGGTCACGCCCGCGGTCCCGCCAGTGCTCCGGAGAGCGGTCCATACTTCCACATTGGCGTTCTACTAAATATATCTGCAGGGATGAACTCGCCTTGCATCTGGTGTCGTTGAGTAGAGATGGAGGATGCTCAACCTGGTGCTGCACAACAAATATGCTGGTCCCTAAAAAAATCCAAAAAAAAGAGAAAACTGGATCCTGTATGGAAGGTAGTATTACGGACACCGTGAGATGAGTACAGATCAAGGTAATTGCTTTTTTACGCTTTATGTATCTAGAAGCCACCTTCATCCACTAGTACTAGTCCCAGAACAGAATACCAAATTATTCTGGGAACAGAATACGAACGCACTAAGTTGTTCTGGGAACAGAATACTCGCGTCCAGTTACTGTCAAGTGTCTATTCATGTCCTTAGATTATTCTCCAATTATCTCTCGTGTTAAACACTGCAGTGCAAGGGCATAAATTCCTGCCTCCTCCTCTTACTCCTCGACAAGACTAACCATTGCCTCGATAGATGGAGGTGGAAACGGCGATGCCTCCTCCGGCGACCGAGCTGGAGCACATGGACTCTGCTGTGCTGGAGCTGGCACACACGGAGCTCTCCTCGCTGCCTGGAAGCGACGCGAATGGTGCGGCGACCAAGGTGCAGAAGGTGTACCGGAGCTACCGAACTAGGCGCAACCTCGCCGACTCCGCTGTTGTCGTCGAGGAGCTCTGGTAACCAGATCCTACAGAAAAACAAACCCTTTTGCTTCTTTTCATCCATTTGGTCTGGTCCCCATTTCTTGGATTCTGCGCCTATTGCTGCTGCCCTTTTCTTGGTTGTTGCCCTATCCTGAGCTGGCTTCCATGAACGGAGGTTTTGGTGTCGGCAGTGCCTGATTTGGTTTGAGTTGATGGTTACGGCTGCTGAAAATTAACCTGTTTACTGGTTGGGATTCGTTCATCAAGGTGGCAAGCACTGGAGTTCGCGCGGCTTAACCACAACACCGTCTCTTTCTACGACGGCCCGGAGCCGGAGACTGCTGCCTCGCGCTGGAGGCGCGTCAGCGTCAATGCATCCAAGGTGTCTTGCTGCCCTGCATAAATCGCCACCATAAGAAAACGATTATTTTGATTGGAATTTCCCTTCATGTTTACACATGTTCCTGAGCTTGATGCAGGTGGGTCAGGGTTTATCGAGGGACGGTAAGGCTCTCAAGCTGGCTTTCCAGCACTGGATCGAGGCTGTGAGTACACATCCGCTGCTGTTTTTAATCTATTTTTTGTATTATTGCATTTGCTGGATACTTGCTTTCAACTGTACATGTGTGAAAAGAATAAGTTGACTTGGGAGTTTTTGTTAGCTGTGAAGTGTGAACACTGATTGTAAAAGTTGCACATCTTGTTGTTGTCGAAACTTCTTGATGATCTGACAGATCTGTTGACTTGGACTTCTATTTGCAACTTTTTTCTGAAATTCATCTGTCGTCGTGTAGATTGATCCAAGACACAGACGCGGGCACAACCTGTATTTCTACTATGATGTCTGGTGCCAGACCCAGGCTGGCCAACCGTTCTTCTACTGGTAACAACATGAATGTGATTGTGTATATGATATCTTTCTTGTTCGAATGAAATCATGCAGTCATATGTAGATATTTGTCATTTTTCTGCAAGATACGTCCATTGTATGTTGCATATAAATTGGCCTCTTTTATTTTTACATATTCAGGCTTGATATTGGTGAGGGAAAAGATGTAGATCTTCCGGAATGTCCAAGGGCTCTGCTGAAGAAGCAATGCATAAGATATCTTGGTCCAGTAAGATTGTTTGCTTAATGGTTGACATCCTTATTTTGAATTCATGTTGTTCTTACTAAAAATATTCAAAGGAGAGATGTATTAGAACTTCAGATTGCTAACTTCATTCAACGCTCAAGTTTCTTCAGCAAGACTCAAATACGATTAAGAAGTACTACTAACTTTGTGCTTCTCATGTGTCACTTTCTAGAATATGTGTTGCTCATAGTGAAAACATGGATTATGTTGTGATGAGTGTCAAATAAACATGGATTTTTTTGGGGGGGGAGGGGGGGTGAATATGCGACTATCAAATTTTATCTTCATTTTGCAAATTTAAGGGAATGCATACCCTCTATTCAATGCATGAACCAAACCATGATCAGAGGAAAATTTTGCTCCCACTCAGACACTAATCGACATACGATTAAGCATCTCATACGTTGGAGTTGGTTAGTCTTTGGCCCGGGTAAATGCCTTCCCAAGAGAGCCAACTCCCTCAAGTCCAAGCTCAATAAAAACGGGTACCGACTTTTACATTTTGCCCCCTCCCGCTCCTGCGACGCACCCCACGTGCGCCACAGGAGGGTTTGCACCGCCGCCGTCCCTAGGTTCCTCACCTCGCTGTCGCCAAAGGGCGCTGTCGGGCGAAGCCCGTGCGGCGCTGGCAGCCGCAGGGCGTTTCCCCCTCTCCTGCATGGTGCTCGGGTGACGTGGGGCGGCTCGTCCTTGCGGGGGCGCTAGGCCGGCGAGGTCTCTGGCGGCGGAACCGCGGGGCTTTGGTGGTGGCGTTGCAGGGTGGTGGTGGTGTGGATCTTCTGCGGTGACGTGCCTCGGCGCGACCATGTCATGCACGGTAGATCCAGGCCGTCGGCGGTGGATGTAGGCAGGCGAGGATGGTTGCCGGCTAAGTCGGCGGTGGCGTTGGTCCTCGCGGCGCGACGCTCTCCTCCTCGACCTGCTGTAGCTTCATCGGTCCGAGATGCGGCCTCCTCTCCAACCCTTATCGGGACCGAGCGGGCCAGCGCCAACTTGATGGATATTCCTTGGGATCTGGCTATTTCCAGGGATGTAGATTCGCCGCTACAAGGGCCGCAGTCTCCTCCCTTCCTCCATGCGGCAGATGTTGCCACCGGGGGCTCACCCTTTTGCCCAAGCAGGGTTGGGGTGGTGGTGTGGTGTTCCCCAATTCAGATTGGGCCTTCCGGGCAGGGCCTGATTTGGATCTTGATGATTGCCGCGGCAGTTGGCGGTCGGCGGTATATGGCCAACGGGGTGGGGTCCGCTGCTATCGGCGGACACGGAGTGAGGAGTTGTCTAGGATGGGAAGGAGTGGACTTCTCTTCCTCTCCCGCGGTGGTTGGTGGCTCTAGACGTGGCACAGGGGCGGTCTCGGGGCGGCGGCCCTGGATGGCGGGCTACACATATTGGTTCGTCGGCGGGCAGCATGGTGGCTGATATTGGCGGTGTGCCTCGGCCATGTGGGTGGCGTGTGTTGGGGAACGCAGTAATTTCAAAAAATTTCCTACGCACACGCAAGATCATGGTGATGGCATAGCAACGAGAGGGGAGAGTGTTGTCCACGTACCCTCGTAGACCGTAAGTGGAAGCGTTATGACAACGCGGTTGATGTAGTCATACGTCTTCACGATCCGACCGATCCAAGCACCGAATGTACGGCACCTCCGAGTTCTGCACACGTTCAGCTCGATGACGATCTCCGGCCTCCGATCCAGCCGAGCTCCGGAGATGAGTTCCGTCAGCACGACGGCGTGGTGACGATGATGATGTTCTACCGGCGCAGGGCTTCGCCTAAACTCCGCGACGATATGACCGAGATGGAATATGGTGGAAGGGGGCACCGCACACGGCTAAGGAACGATCCGTAGATCAACTTGTGTGTCTATGGGGTGCCCCCTGCCCCCGTATATAAAGGAGCCGGGGGGGAGGAGGCGGCCGGCCTAGAGGGCGCGCCAAGGGGGGAGTCCTACTCCCACCGGGAGTAGGACTCCCCCTTTCCAAGTAGGAGTAGGAGAAGGGGGGAAAGAGGAGGAAGAGGGGAAGGAAAGGGGGGGCGCCGCCCCCCTTCCCTTGTCCTATTCGGACTAGGAGGGGGAGGGGTGCGCGGCCCCCTCCTGGCTCCTTCCCTCTTCTCCCTCTTGGCCCATGTAGGCCCATTAACCCCCCGGGGGGTTCTGGTAACCTCCCGGTACTCCGGTAAAATGCCGATTTCACCCGGAACCATTCCGATATCCAAATATAGGCTTCCAATATATCAATCTTTATGTCTCGACTATTCTGAGACTCCTCATCATGTCCGTGATCACATCTGGGACTCCGAACAAACTTCGGTACATCAAAACTTATAAACTCATAATAAAACTGTCATCGAAACGTTAAGCGTGCGGACCCTACGGGTTCGAGAACTATGTAGACATGACCTAGAACCATTCTCGGTAAATAAACAATAGCGGGACCTGGATGCCCATATTGGTTCCTACATATTCTACGAAGATCTTTATCGGTCAAACCGCATAACAACATACTTTGTTCCCTTTGTCATCGGTATGTTACTTGCCCGAGATTTGATCGTCGGTATCCAATACCTAGTTCAATCTCGTTACCGGCAAGTCTCTTTACTCGTTCTGTAATACATCATCTCATAACTAACTCATTAGTTACATGCTTGCAAGGCTTAGGTGATGAGTATTACCGAGAGGGCCCAGAGATACCTCTCCGACAATCGGAGTGACAAAACCTAATCTCGAATTATGCCAACCCAACATGTACCTTCGGAAACACCTGTAGAGCACCTTTATAATCACCCAGTTACGTTGTGACGTTTGGTAGCACACAAAGTGTTCTTCCGGTATACGGGAGTTGCACAATCTCATAGTTGCAGGAACTTTGTATAAGTCATGAAGAAAGCAATAGCAGTATACTAAACGATCAAGTATACTAAACGATCAAGTGCTAGGCTAACGGAATGGGTCATGTCAATCACATCATTCTCCTAATGATGTGATCCCACTAATCAAATGACAACACATGTCTATGGTTAGGAAACATAACCATCTTTGATTAATGAGCTAGTCAAGTAGAGGCATACTAGTGACTATAGTTTTGTCTATGTATTCACACATGTATCATGTTTCCGGTTAATACAATTCTAGCATGAATAATAAACATTTATCATGATATGAGGAAATAAATAATAACTTTATTATTGCCTCTAGGGCATATTTCCTTCAGCGTGGTGCGCTGTGGTGGGTGTTCGTGACAAAGCTGTCTCTGTCGGTGACGGTCAAGCCTTGATCTAGATATGGTGCTCCTGGTTCTGTCGTGGTAGGGTACCCATCGTGGGGGGCTTGTGGCTTGCTCACGCGGCGTGGTGGGAGGTGGGGTCGAGCAAAATATTTGCGTCTCCGAGCCGGCGGTGGAAATGCATGTGGGTGTTGCGTTCCTCTTGGCGGCACCGCCTTGGTCTCCCCAACTTTCATTATCGTCACTCAGGGTGAAAACCTCAGTTTGCCTTGGCTGACACGGTGGCGACGGCGCTTTGTGTTGTGATCCTCTTGAGGACGTCGCCGATGAGTGAGGGTGCTCCTCGGGCGTGGCGACATGTCTCTTGTGCTTCTCCTCGACGGCTCGTTTGGGAGCGTTTAGTAGTATACCCCGGTGTGTTCTGTTATTGCTCCCTACTAGTTTTGTCGTATTTTGTTTTGATCAGCTTATGAGGATTTCCTCAATACCTTGTATCGTGTGGTCGGTTGGCTTTATAATGTAAAGCGGGGCGAAAGCCTGTTTCGAGAATAAAAATGGGTACCCAGTGCTGAAAGCTCCCACACAAGGTGCGGTTTGGGAAGGGAATTTCTGGACAACCTTACCCTTCCATAATAATTCTGCAAGGAGCTGGTTCGAACCCCGGGACCTCTAGGCCACAAGTGGAGAGACTACCACTGCGCCAGGCCCGCCCATCAAATCCAAGCTCTCAGTAATGGAATTAGCAATCACATTAAAATTATCATTATTCCTTTTCACTCTGCTACATGATAATGTTGAAGTCTCCACCCACCAACATGGGTAGAGACTCTGAACCACAAAGATGAACAAGCTCAAAGGGTAAGTCAGATTTGAGCTCTGCCTCAAATTTGTGGACCAACAGATTTGCATGGGTGTAAGTCAGATTTGTGGCAACGGGGTTCCTCTCGACACATGTGTTGCAGTCGAGGAGGAGAAGTAGCGATGCCGACTGCACCAGAGGCTCCGGTGCAGGCGGCAAGCTGCCGCCTGCGGTACTCACACCTGCAGTGCCACCACAGTACTGTGGCGGCGTGCTAACGAGCTGGCCGAAGTGGAAGCGTTTGTAGAAGAATACCCCTTCGCACGCTTCCAGTTGTGCTCGCCCCCTCCTCATCGGCGTTCTTCTTATTATTCTTGTGCGCTGTCATCATGTGGATCCGCATCATTAATGATGCAGAGGCCGTGGGTTAAACCTCCTTTTCCAAAAAAAATGTGGATCTGCATCAAATGGAGGGGAGTCATATCCCTCGACCTCAAACCAAAGCTCGCCCCTCGAAATACCAGTCTTGATCCGCAAACTGAGATATATCCGCAACACTCAATATTCCCTCCGGAATTATAAAGCACACACACTCTTCTCAAATTTATCTTGCATCGACAATCAATCATATTTGGATTGGTTGATACAAAATTGATATCGTTGGATTCATTAAAAAGCTCCTTTCAATCATCAAAATTTATATTGAGATAATCCACATATAGTCGGGAAACTGGTCGATCAAAGTTAAGCTTGGAAAACGTACGTGCACGCCTTCAATTTTTCGACAGAGTTATCAAAGATATATTTTACCGCCAAAAGTTCCACAAGTCTTGAAACATGTTCAAATTAGTTGCTAAAGTTGCCACATGAATGTTTAGAAGAAGATTATTCTGCATGAACTATGAATTTTGTAGAGAGCTAAGCCTGCCAGATGGTTCTAACAGTTGTCTGATGTTTTGCAGCAAGAGCGCGAGTACTATGAATACATCATTACAGAGGGAAAGATTACCCACAAGATGTCTGGAGAACCACTTGATACAAGCCAGGGCCCTAAAGGGACAAAATGGATTTTTGTTATGAGCACAGCAAAGAAACTTTATGCTGGGAAGGTAGTTTGACTATTTCTATGAGCAATATTATATCATGTTTTGGAAGTTTAGCTTCGCTATAAGCGTTTAATTGTATACTTATTTCTATATTCAGAAAGAGAGAGGTGTATTCCAGCACTCCAGCTTTTTAGCAGGAGGTGCTACCATAGCTGCTGGAAGGTTTATTGCAGAAAATGCAGTTATCAAGGTATTGTCAAGACAACCATCTTAGCAAGTGGTGCTGTTTACACAAAGATTTTACGCTCGGTGAATTGTCACTTAACATTGCATCCATGTTCCAAAAGATATACTAGTCATTTCATACTCATAATTTAGTTATTGTGCTCTCTCATTGGATGCATTATGCTAATTTGATTCTCTGACGATCTGTCCTGATTTCAGTCCATCTGGGCCTATAGTGGACATTACAAACCGAGTGCGGAAAACCTTAGCAACTTCCTGAGCTTTCTAGAAGAGAATGGAGTTGATCTGAAAGAAGTTGAGGTATAATATTTTTGGATCAGCGAAATCTAAACAGTAAACACACTCCTGTGTTAACAAATGTAACACGGTTCACTTCATGAACTTATTTTTGCATATTCAGGTGTGCTCATTCACCAAAGAAGACTGCTATGAAGATCCGGTGCCTAATACCAAACAGAACCCTGCTGCTGCTACCATGTCATCCAATCCTTCACAACTGATTCTCCCTTCCAACAAGGCATCTGGGGCATCTTCACAGACCGAAGCTGACGAGGGCAATAATCCCCGTGTGGAGCAAGCAAGGGCAACCTACCAAACAACCTTATCAGGTGGCCTGCAATGCCCTGGAGATGCCGGCGTCTCGCAGGAGGCGATTCTTGAGAGGGTGAATTCCATGAGCAAGTCAAAATCCTACCAGCTCGGCCACAGGCTGTCCCTGAAATGGAGCACTGGGAATGGTCCAAGAATTGGTTGTGTGAAGGACTATCCAATGGAGCTCAGAATACAAGCGCTGGAGATGGTACAGCAGTCTACAACTCTCACCAAGGGCATCGACTCCTCTGGCCTCGTGGATGGTACCGACAGGCCTCTTGCCCACCTTGCAAATGTCGCCGCTCGTGCCAGTGCAGACCTCCCTGCCCTAGCCAAGTAAGAACTTAAAACTAGGTAGTAGTTTGTGTAGTTCTGCTGCTTCATATTTGGTGGGTGCTGCAAATATCAGACACTAAGTTTGTGCTTGTTGCTTTTCCTATGTTCCATGAATCCATTGTGGCTCAGATGATCTGGTGAGTGTTGTATGAGTTTCAGTTTGGTTGAATTGATTTAACAATGCTTGACTGCGCTTATCAGCAATATGGTAGTATGTTATAAACTTATAATATGGTGGTATGTTTGGTTAAGACATTGAGAAAACAGTTTTCTGTTTCACAAGTCATAATATGCTACTCCCTCCGTCCCATAACGTAAGACGTTTTTTGACACTACACTAGAGTCAAAAAACGTCTTACGTTATGGGACGGAGGGAGTAGTATGTTAATATGGCGGTATGTTTGGTTAAGAAATTCAGTAAACATTCAGGTAGAAAACCTACAAGCCATTTTGAAATTTAAAGAAAAATCAAGGATCTTTGACTGAAAAGATGCATTTGACATTACAATAGATACATCAGAACTGTGTTAGACAGTATCAGCAATAGGGATCAACTGAGTCAAAAATACCTAACAAACTGCCAATGCAAGAAAAAAATAAAAGAATCTAGAAAGAGAAGCAATTGAAATGAGAAAAACTAGACTGGTAGTTCTTTGCATTACAAACTGCAGCATCTTATAGGCGCATACGGTTAGGTCTAACTGGAAATGACAGGACATAAAAATGTTGGATAATGAGCAACTTACATTCACAGGGGGTCAAAGGCCAAACATGTACATGTGTGGTAAAGTGCAAGAAACCCCTTATACAATGGGGATGTACAGAAAAGAGGCTATACACATCTAACCCCCCCCCCCTCAAACTCATGGTGGGTCAACAACACTGAGTTTGGAGAGAAAGAACCCATGCTGCGCTCGAGTCTGTGCCTTTGTGAAGAAGTCCGCCAACTGTAACTCAGAGGGCACATAGTGAAGAGCGAGAACCTCATCCTGCACAGCAGCACGCACAAAGGATGCATCCACACTGATGTGCTTGGTGATCTCATGCTTCATCGGGTCACGCGCAATACTGATAGCGCATGTACTATCCAACAATAAGGGAGATCGATGTAGTAGCAGACATACCAAAGTCCTGAAGTAACCATCGTAACCAGATCACCTCAGCTGTCAACATAGCCATCGCTCGCAACTCAACCTTTGTACTCAAGCGAGAAAATGCAGTCTGTTTCTTTGTCTTCCAGGCAATGAGAGAGCCACCAAGAAAGACACAGTAAGCAGACAGCGAGCGTCGATCAGAAGGATCACTAGCCCATGTAGCATCAAAATAGGCCTAGAGCTGGAGAGAGCTGGAGCGGGGAAAGAAAAGGCGGTGAGAGATCATGCCACGAAGATATCGTAGAACACGGAGGAGGTGACTATAATGGGCAAAGGTGGGGGTTGAAACGAACTAATTGAGAATGAACGGGATAGGATATGTCAGGAGGAGTAACAGCGAGATAGACTAGGCTCCCGATGAGGTGGCAATAGCGAGTGGGATTAGGAAGAGGATCACCATCAGACGCACGAAGCTGAACGTTGAGCTCCATAGGAGTCACAACAGTGCGGTCATCACCAAGAGCGGCTCGAGCAAGAAGATCCTGAATATATTTTTCCTGGGAGATGAAGGATCCATCAGAGGTCGAAGAAACCTCAATCCCAAGAAAATAGCAAAGGGGACCAAGATCATACATCAGAAACTGGTCACGAAGGCGGGCCTTAACAAAGGCAATGTAGTCAGAGTCGTCATCGGTGATGATCATGTCATCGCATATGGAAGGAGAAGAGTTCGACCATGAGGAGAGCTGTGAATAAACAAAGCGGGATCATGATCACTGGGCGAGAAGCCCACGGCAGTCATGACAGAGGCAAACCGCTTGAACCAGGCATGAGGGGCATGTTTGAAACCATAGAGGGATCGTTGAAGTCGGCAGACCATACCGTCAGGAACAGAGTATCCCGGTGGTGGCTGCATATAAACCTCCTCACGCAACTCACCATTGAGAAAAGCGTTTTAAACGTCAAGCTAAGACACAGACCAATGACGAATAGAAGCCACAACAAGAAGAGTGCAGACGATGGTCATGTGGGCCACAGGAGCGAATGTCTCATCATAATCGCGTCCCTGCTCCTGCTGAAAACCACGAGCCACAAGAGGAGCTTTGTAGGGCTCAAGAGAACCATCGGAGCGAGTCTTAATCTTATAGGCCCACTTGCACGTGATAGGACGAACACCGGAAGGAAGGGAAACCAGATCCCACGTGCCAAAACGCTCAAGGGCAACAATCTCCTCGGCCATTGTGAGCTTCCATTCAGGCTAAGTCAGAGCTGCCCGATAGGAAGTAGGCTCAACAACAATAGAGAGGTCGTACTGGTCAGGAGAATAGCGATCAGGTGGGGCGAGGACGGAGCAAGGAGATTATGAACCGGTGGAGGCGTGAAGGGAGGTTCTCCGGAAGTGGAAGCGTTAGAGGAATTATCCTCAACACGAGGGCAACGAGTGTAGTGGAGAGGAAAAGGAGAGAGAGGTTGACAGACCAGAGAGGATGGTGGAGAGGAGGATGGAGGGGAAGATGGTGTCTGTGGCTTAGGGGGAAGAGTGAGATGTGTCAGAGGAAGGGGGAGACAAGAGGCACAGGGGAGGATGTATCAGGAAGGAGAAGGAAGGAAATATCGTCCACAGAAAAGGTCGAGGAGGAAGGGCGGGGGTAGTAAGAACGAGACTCATCAAAAGTCACATCACACAAAATGCGCAAACGACGACCAACGGGATCCCAACATCGATGTGCTCATCACTGTATCCAAGAGAATACACACTCAACCGACTGAGCAGTCAGTTTGCTGCGTTCTCGCAGGGCAAGAAGAACATAGCGCACACATCCAAACATACGAAGAGCTGAGTAGTCAGGAGAACGACTAGTGAGACACTCCATAGGAGTACCACCCTGCAAGACAGTCGATGGCTGAATGTTGATGAGATAGGTGGATGCAGAAATGGCCTCGGCCCAAAAGTGGGGTGGAAGAGAAGCACCGATCATCAGCGCACGAGCCGTCTCAAGCAGATGACGATGCTTACGTTCCGCAATGCCATTCTAAGCATGCGTCTCACTGGAGGTGAATTGATCGACTTCTTCAGAGGACGAAGACCCATGCTGGTTGTTATCTATGTCTAACACGGAGAAAGATGATGAGGACCCACTATGCTCAAAGAATGAGGATGAGTGAGGATGAATCGGGCAACCTCTGATACATACTTCCGACATGGTATGCCTACGTCGGGACCTTGACATGGACATATCATAAAAATTACTACACTAAGTAACATACCATGACATGGCGATGACCGATGGCACTCTACAATGGGGGTTGAGTGGTGTGGGTTCGCGAGCCTTGAGACTCGACCAGGACAGCGGAGGCTCGACGCGGTGATAGCGGCGAGGCGTGCGGTATGCACGGGGCATGAAGACGGGTCAGGGCTCTGGTGGTCATACATGTGGTGAGACAACTGTGAATTGGACTCGGGATGACTATAAGCAACAGTAAAATTTCTTCAAGTTTAAGACAGGCGGTCAATGAAGAGCGGTGATATTGAGTCTGGGTAACTCTTATGTGTGGCACCCAATATGTGAGTTGTTCACTTTCACGTAGATCGGTGATCAATGTGTGATGGTGTGAAATACTCTGGAAGTTGGGAGCACAGAGTAGAGTAAAGAGGAACTTAGTTTTGCTCAAGCGTTGACTGTGGTCAAGAAAAGGAGGGACTACAAGTTACAGGTGGAGTCATATGGAGTCTTTGGAGTAGCAGCGGTACTCTCGGAATAAGCTCAAGTCAAATGTACGTGGAAGTTTGACACATGAACAAAGAATTCAATTGATGGTGAATAATATTCGCCAAGGTGGAGTCTGTTAGAGTTGTGTCGAATATAGTGTACAAGGTAGGTTACAGTTGGACTCTGAGTTGTATTGTGTTTAGATAGAATATGGAGCCGTGTCCTAGTAAGACACTTGTGTGTTAAGCCTCTCATATATGCGAGGATAGACACACGATGTAACATATGTCAACATAATAACAAATCTCGGTGTCATGCTCGTGTGAGTGCTTGGTCCTTGAATGATCGACGGTGTCCTCAGATTTATTCTAACATAATTGAATTCTAGACTATCTAGTAAATCATCACAAAAGTAGAATCCAATTCTAAACTAAAATATATTGAACACTAATTTTTTTACACTACGTACAAATATGGTTTCTACACTAATAAATCAAATTTTACCAAGTATAATACAGTATAATCGGATTCTAGACTAGTAAATCAACATAAAAGAGTATAATCCAATTTTACACTAAAACATATTGAACATATAAAAGTTCTATGCTAAGTACAAATACGGTTTCTACATTGCTAAATCAATTTATACTAAGTATAATCGGATACTACACTACTAAATCTAATTCCACATTACTAATTTTATGCAAAAATAAACCAAATCAACGGACTCCATGGATTTCATGGCGTCCGCGGCCGAGGGAGACGCTAGGGGAGGGGAAGAAGCGATGTGTGAGGAGGAGGGGGGATATCTCATCTGCTGACCCGGAGGTGGTTGCGGCTGCGCTGGTCCGGCGACGACGGGCGGCGTGGTCGGGAGGTGGCGGCGCCGGCGCCGGTCGAGAGGGGACAAAATGAAAAAGATGGGGGTGAATCAGAACGACTTAGCAAGGTTTTTTTGATTTGGCCAGGGTTGTTAGAAGATGGACTAGTGTCAGGATAGGCCTAATGGGCCACGCCATAACAAATTGTAGCTAACATGGAAAAAATCTCAGCTAATATCTATGGCGTGACAAAAAACAATACGACAGCACTAAGGTCATATCAATGACATAACAAATGAAAGATCGTGGATGTCGCCTAGACGGGGAGGGGGTGAATAGGCGCTTTAAAATAATTACGGTTTAGGCTTGAACAAAGGC